CTAAAAAAATTTCAAACATTTTTTTTCAGTAAAACTTTATATTTTCTCTACCTTAACTTTATACAGAGTTGGTCAATTTGACCAGCTTTATAACTACCATACAGAAATAGGAAGTCTAAGTTACCTAGTCTTTGATCACAACCGGGTGGTCTATTTCTTCAGGGTACACATTATAATTTTTCATTTCTCGGGATACTATCTTAGGTTTTTTTTTCAACACGTGACTCGGTACCAGTTTTGTGCCTTGTCCGTCTGACTCGTTTCAGTTCTGTAGGTTTTTTGTCAGGTGGTATGCGTTTTATCTTACTTGTGCATTTTTGGGTATTTTACTAATACCACTACTTGGATGTCTGGCTTCGGTTTTTTACTTCTGAACGTGGGTGGTCATAAAATACTTGTCTACTTCTTACACAAGTAGCTTGGGTGGTTGGATTTTCAGTTGGATAAGTTTTTCCTGCTACATTACCTAACAATCTCGGCTATTTGGGAATGTCTTTTTAAACACCTTCCTCTGTCTGGACCATCCATTCTCCTCTTCAATTACATTTCATGGAGCTTTCTGTTATCCACACCATTACAGTTCACTATCTTACTGCTAGGTTCTAATGCATTAGGGGATGTGGTTTCTATGGAAGCACTTCTCCCTTTGGGTCTGACACATTTATGATCCTTTCCGGGGATTCTATGGTTCCTTTGGATTCTCCTCTTAAATTTCCTCCTTCCATCTTCTAATGCATTAGGGGATGTGGTTTCTATTGGAAGCACTTCACCCTTTGGGTCTGACACATTTATGATCCTTTCCGGAGATTCTATGGTTCTTTTGGATTCTCCTCTTAAATTTCCTCCTTCCATCTTCTAATGCATTAGGGGATGTGGTTTCTATGGAAGCACTTCACCCTTTGAGTCTGACACATTTGCAATCTTTTTTGATTGTTTTTGATGTGGTAAAGAAATCTTTGCATCAACAGAAAACTTAAATTTGACTTGTCTCCAAAGTTTTACTTCTCTCAATTAAAGTATTATTGCTCTTAGTTACAATATAAACATTTTCTAGACTGTTTATTAATTCACATGGGAAAGCTCATTGAGAAATGTAATAAAAGCAATCACATTCAGACTACAACATTTTCTTCTTCAGGAACTGACTTTTCGCTTGAAATTAAGGTATGGTGCTTGTGTTTCCTGTAATTATAAATCAAAGATTTTGTAGTAAGTAAGATAAAATAATAAGTCTTCTAATTTGGTAGGAAAAATATTAAACATAAGCTCTCTAGGAGTAAAGCAGTATCAAAGTGTTGTGTGATAAACGGCCTAACCGGCACATGTTTATATATTGTTTCAATAGGAGAGAGACAGCGACAAGTGTACCTTTGGCAATGGTACTTACCAGTGTGGGATATGTAGTTGTTACGATGGTCGTTCTGGGATCAATTGCGAATGTGACTCTAAGGATACAGACCCTACCATAGATGAAACAAAATGTTTCTTGTAAGTTTGTAGAAATATATTGTTCCTGATAAACTCTTTATTATAATAATACTGATTGGGCATTACCAGCCATATCTGGCTTACGATAATTAAATAAATAATATTTAATAAATTAATCTCATTATTAAAAAGAGCCCTAACATTAATTGTGAAAAAAAATAATTTTACCCGTGCTGAAAGTCAATATTTCGGTTAGAAAAACTTTAGGAATTGTTATATCGGCTGGTCGATGTTTTGTTTGTTCACATATAAAGGTTTAACTGTTTGGGAATGTAAGGTAGGAAGACGAGCATACAAAAAATAAATTCTTTCTCTCTCTCTCTCTCTTGTTTTTTTTTTTGAAAGAGAAAGTTTGGTAACTAAGGATGCTCTGTAATACTTCACGTGTAGAAAGTGTTTATTTGCCACCTAAAATAACAAATAAAATTGAAAAACTAAGAAAATTATGTTCCTTGAGCTGCCATAATAATAATATTTTAGATTTATTTCTTTTTTTTCTGATAAATTGTAGAAAATAAAATTATCTTTTGAAAATAGGAAATATTTCAAACATCTTTAATACCTAGAAAAACAATAAATGCTAATTCATTCCAGATAAGTCAGTCTAACTTGTACATTGGTATATAGTTCCCTAATTTCTTTTGTCTGCTCCTAGTATCAATGAAACTAAGCCATGCTCTGGACGAGGAATCTGTCATTGTGGAGTTTGCGAATGTATCCCAAGGCAGGCAAGTGTGTTGGGTCTTTTCATTTCAATAATCTGCCGTAATCTGGTTAACTGTGTACTGTTAATCATTACCATAAACTAACTTTGAATCAAATTTAATGTTCATACACTCAGATTCAGTTAACATGTTGTTTTACAATCTTTGAGAATTTCTTAACTAATCTTTGCTTTATTTTTTGTGATACAGAATCCTGAAGAAGTGGTAACAGGGAAGTTTTGCGAGTGTGATAATTTTTCATGTGATCGTTACGAAGGGAAAATATGCAGTGGTGAGTTAGAACTCTTATGTTGTTATCTTAACGATAACCCGACTCCATCTCGATAAGAAATAAATAAAACACTGAAGAAAACACTTACCTATAACTCGACTCCATATCGATAAGAAATAAATAAAACACTGAAGAAAACATTTACATGTAACTCGACTCCATCTCGATAAGAAATAAATAAAACACTGAAGAAAACATTTACCTATAACTCAAATCCATCTCGATAAGAAATAAATAAAACAATGAAGAAAACATTTACATATAACTCGACTCCATCTCAATAAGAAATAAATAAAACACTGAAGAAAACATTTACATATAACTCGACTCCATCTCAATAAGAAATAAATAAAACACTGAAGAAAACATTTACCTATAACTCGACTCCATCTCGATAAGAAATAAATAAAACACTGAAGAAAACATTTACGTATTTGTTTCTCTTCAATATTTTAGATTGTTGTTGTTATGCTTACTAAAAGTATGCCAAGTTTTGTAAAGATGCATTTTGTAAAATTACAATTATAGTAAACATAACTATTTATAACTTCACAGAAATAGGGGGTTGAGCAATACATTAATGATCTTCGCATAGGTTTAAGAATTGATTTATGAAATGATGTTCATGATTGTTGTCACCAAAGATAAACTACAATAAAAAAAACTGTAATTTTAAAAAATAAAATCATATCCTTGACCCTAAAAACTCAATAAATGAATATATTATTATAGGAGATATATTTAAATAAATAAAATTGGTTTATAGAAAATGTATGTTAAAAAATATAACTGATTTTGAGAATCTCAAATTTAAATCTTTGTCGACTTTTAACGAGTATTATGGTATAATTATAACTGATAATCCTGGTTATTTTCACGTGCCTGCTAATCCAGATAGACTGATTATTTTAGAAAAAAGTTTGATGAAATTTGCAAGGATTTTTATAACGTAAAATCATTAAACTATTATAGTTTCTAATACTAAAACATAGAAGAAATTGATACACTTATTTCCTGCAGTAGGTCAGTGAAAACACGCAGAATAAATTATAACCAAACCAAAAAAGTAGCAAAATAGTAACCTGTACGGAGATGGGCAGGTGGGGCATAATGGTTTGCATCTTGTTGCCACAAACTCGTGCCCTGGGTTACATTATACTCTGTAATAGAGAAGTTTCACCATTTAGTCTGACAAGAATAGTGGTTTTATGTGAAAATCTGAAAACTGTATGCTGTTTCCAGTAGTCTGATGAAGAAATTATTATAAGGCTCTTTTTCTTAGCCCGTTCTTTGTTTTATTTTTAGAAGAACGGCTTGTATTTTTATTGTTTCTATTTAATAATTATAAAAACAACTAAATGTTTCAAGAAACTTGTATATTAGTTACTCTTCCGTTGATTTCCTACACAGGACCTAGCCACGGGGAGTGTGAGTGTGGTAAATGTCAGTGCCTACCTGACTGGACAGGTCATGCCTGTGAATGCAAAAAAGATAATGAAAGTTGCATTGCTCCTGATAGTAACGTAAGTAAGGCTAAACAGTTTTTTGTTTCATGTAAATACCTGTAAACAATTCCATGTTCTTTACATAGTTTGTACACCTGTAATATCTGTAAACAGTTCTATGTTCCTTACATAGTTTGTACACCTGTAATATCTGTAAACAATTCTATGTTCCTTACACAGTTTGTACACCTGTAATATGTGTAAACAGTTCTATGTTCTCTACACAGTTTGTACACCTGTAATATCTGTAAACAGTTCTATGTTCTCTACACAGTTTGTAAACCTGTAATATATGTAAACAGTTCTATGTTCCTTACACAGTTTGTAAACCTGTAATATCTGTAAACAGTTCTATGTTCCTTACACAGTTTGTACACCTGTAATATCTGTAAACAGTTCTATGTTCCTTACACAGTTTGTACACCTGTAATATCTGTAAACAATTCTCTGTTCCTTAGTTTGTACACCTGTAACATCTGTAAACAAGTCTCTGTTCCTTAGTTTCTAAACCTGTAATATCTGTAAACAGTTCTGTGTTCCTTACACAGTTTCTAAACCTGTAATATCTGTAAACAATTCTATGTTTCTGATAATACCATTATTTTGTTTATTCATATTTTTTTCTCTATTACTTATATAGTAGCTACTTTGTTACTTTAAGCTATTGGATATATATTGTTTTATTGATCATAACTCCCATTTTACTGAATTACACTACATCTTTGATGCTTAAGATCAAGTTTAGTCTGTCTGGGTTTTGTTATACGAAGTCCTTGTATTATTGTATAATAAAACTAATCTATTATTTACAATTGCAGCAAATCTGTAGTGGTCATGGGGAGTGCAAGTGTGGGGTGTGTGAGTGTTTTGAATCGGAAGATCAGCGGTACAGTGGACGTTTCTGTGAGGACTGCCCTGTAAGTGCAGGTGTTGAAGGTTAAGTTGTAAATTTGTGCTAGTTTTGTTTTTTATCCCATAAATCCTTATTAAAACTATGAGTATTAAAAATGTATGTACCTTCAGTAGTTTTGTGTTTTATCCCATAAATCCTTATTAAAACTATGAGTATTAAAAATGTATGTACCTTCAGTAGTTTTGTGTTTATCCCATAAATCCTTATTAAAACTATGAGTATTAAAAATGTATGTACCTTCAGTAGTTTTGTGTTTATCCCATAAATCCTTATTAAAACTATGAGTATTAAAAATGTATGTACCTTCAGTAGTTTTGTGTTTTATCTGTTGTATTTATAAGAACTAAGAAAACAAACCTCCAATCTGTTTAGCTAATCTAACAATTTGAATGAGTGTAGTACCTCATTCCAACATTTATTCTAACAATTTGAATGAGTGTAGTACCTCATTCCAACGTTTATTCTAACAATTTGAATGAGTGTAGTACCCCAATCCAATGTTTACTCTAACAATTTGAATGAGTGTAGTACCCCAATCCAACGTTTATTCTAACAATTTGAATGAGTGTTAGTACCCCAATCCAACGTTTATTCTAACAATTTGAATGAGTGTAGTACCCCAATCCAATGTTTATTCTAACAATTTGAATGAGTGTTAGTACCCCAATCCAATGTTTATTCTAACAATTTGAATGAGTGTAGTACCCCATTCCAATGTTTATTCTAACAATTTGAATGAGTGTAGTACCCCCATTCGAACATATATTCTAACAATTTGAATGAGTGTTAGTACCTCATTCCAATGTTTATTCTAACATGAAACAAGTATGATTTGTTTTTCTAACATTACAGACTTGTCCTGGTCTCTGTGAGGATCTTAAAGAGTGTGTTCAATGTCTGATGTTTGATTCTGGGCCGCTGACTGTCGAAGAATGTAAAAACTGCTCTTTTATTCCTGTAGAAGTTAGTGAAGCTGAGGGTAAGCCTAGTCGGTACCATTTATTACAAAAACACTTTTATGTTTGTAGCATATTCAGATGGCCCCAGTGAAGTAGTTTATAAATGTGATAAACCCTCTCAAGGTATCCTCACCTTAGAAGCTGTTTCTGATTGTGAAAGGTTAGCTTCAGTTCATCATTGATGGTATGTTTTTTCAAGGTTAACAGTTGGGCCTGCAACAACATTACATTAATGATTTGAAATATCACTGGTTTCCTAAATCAGTGAAAATAAAGTTCTTAGCTCTTTATAAAAGGTAAATGGATGGTGTAGAGAAGAAAGTAAGGTTAGCTGTGAAAATAAATCTCTTTTTAACTCTCTCTTTAAATTTTGGAGCTAATTTTTTTATAGGTATTATGTTAGTGTTTGTAGTAACTAGACAAAGTAAAACAGTGTTATTAATAGGTACTATGTTAGTGTTTGTAGTAACTTCTATGTTGAACTTCTAATGTAATGTAAATACTTATATTTAAAGCAAAGAAAAAAGTTAATTGTTTGTTTCTGTTGACGTCCTGTTTCATTTGAATTCACAAATATCAGAAGTCGACACATGGGTGTAGTTTACTTTTACTTGTGGTAGCAGAGAATATGTTAAAGAGTTTCTAATTTTGTCAAGTTTAGTTGTTGTTGTTTTAAATATCTGAAGTCGACACATGGGTATAGTCTACTTTTACTTGTGGCAGCAGAGAATATGTTAAAGAGTTTCTAATTTTGTCAAGTTTAGTTGTTGTTGTTTTAAATATCAGAAGTCGACACATGGGTGTAGTCTACTTGTGGCAGCAGAGAATATGTTAAAGAGTTTCTAATTTTGTCAAGTTTAGTTGTTGTTGTTTTAAATATCAGAAGTCGACACATGGTTGTAGTTTACTTTTACTTGTGGTAGCAGAGAATATGTTAAAGAGTTTCTAATTTTGTCAAGTTTAGTTGTTGTTTTTTAAGAATCTTCCATTTTTCTAGTGGAAGAACCGGGGCAAAGATTGTGTGTCTTCCGTGATGATGACGACTGTAAATTTAAGTTTGTCTACAAACTTGATGAAGATAACAAGCCCTTAGTGTGGGCCCAAAGAACAAAAGGTAACATTCAGCTTTGAATTAGAATCCCCAATTGTTAGATTAGTATTATACCTGAAACTATATTATTATGAATATATAAAGTAAGAATTTTTTTTTTCACCTCCTGTGTTATTCAGAAACATTTTAGTTTGATCCCCACCCCAAAGTTTTATTTACATTTAATAGGCTGTTAAGAAAATCTAAGTGAAATCTGGGTCGTATACCAAGTTAATCTTAGCTTTTATCAGTCAAATATAACAATCACTTTAGTAGCAAAAACGAAATTCTATGTTGTTTTAATTAAAACCTCTAGGTTGCACCAAACCTGCTAATATCAGTGTGTGATCAGCATTTCAGTACTTATAATTCTCAGTCTTCAGATGGTCATCTCTGTTTTTTTTTGGTATATGTTTGATTTAAAAGCCATTAGGTTTTATAATTATATTTTATTTTTTTCTGAATGATAGGTTCTCTTTTGGCTCCATTGAAAATGTATACATGAATTTTGAAGTAAAAAGAATGAATTTAACACAAAAATACGATGCCCTATAACCTGGGCACTTTTGAAAGGTGTAAACTGAGGAAGAAAGGTGCTTGGGTTATGGGGGGAATGTATTTTTGTGTTAATTTGATTTCTTGAACCTATTTGTTTATCTAACGTCATCAAATTAAAATGATTGTGTATGTTTGTGCGATTCTCAGATTGTCCAGAACCAATCAACATCCTCGCAATTGTGCTTGGCGTTATTGGTGGAATTGTTCTGGTGGGGCTGGCACTTCTACTGATATGGAAACTGCTCACCACCATTCATGATCGACGTGAGTTTGCTAAGTTTGAGAAAGAAAGACAGATGGCCAAATGGGACACTGTGAGTATAAATCACATCGTGATGTACAATGTCTGTTTTTATTATTATTATCCTGGAAAGTTTCACAGGTTTTTTTCTAAAACGTTTCCAAATATTACATAAGAATAAATCTGCTGAGGAAAACGTATAAAATTCCTACAAGTTTAAAAGTTGTGAAACCGGAAACCTACATTTGCAAACCTATAGATGGAGTTTGAGCATAACTTTTTAATTAATTTATTTACAATTCTAACTTTTAATTATAAGTGTTTCACATAACTTGAAAGATACCTTTAAGGCCTAGCATGGCCATGTGGTTAGGGTGCTTGACTCGTAATCTGAGGGTTACAGGTTCAAATCCCCATCCCATCAAACATGCTCGCCCTTTCAGCCGTGGAGATGTTATAATGTGACGGTCAATCCCACTGTTCATTGGTAAAAGAGTAGCCCAAGAATTGGCAGCGGATGGTGATGACTAGCTGCCTTCCCTCTAGTCTTACACTGCTAAATTAGGGCCATCTAGTGCAGATAGGCCTCGTGTAGCTTTGCGTGAAATTCAAAACAAACAAATACAACGCTAGAAACCAGGTTTCTATACCTGTGGTGGACAGAGCACAGATAACCCTCGTGTAGCTTTGCATGAAATTCAAACCAAAGATACCTTTTCAGTAATTTTGTAAATTTTAAATCTTTTATGGACAAGAAAAATTAGACATTTGATTTTTAATCTTGTTATCCCTAAGAATTTTGTACTTTTCTCACCACCAATGTGTTGAAGCTCCATTTTTTTTTTAAAGTTAAAAAAATTAAAGATAGATTAGACAGATTTTTATGTTGGTGTTAGTTTATTGTGATGTCATCATTGCCTAGCTAGGCTTAGCTTCCAAAGCATGGACCAAGTGTAGTGTTTTATTACAATTATATATTGTGTGGTATCTCATTCTTTTGCTTTCATTCATGGGTCCTTGTACTACATCTACCGTATTCAGTGCCCAAGAAGCCTTTCACCCAATACTCAGGGTTCATCAGGCTAGCTGGGATACAACTAAGTATTGGTCTGAACACTATAAATATCATCAGGTTTCATGAACAACAACTGTTATGATATGAATCAAATTAAGCAAGTGATCTGGAATTAATAACACAGTGTTTTTGACTTTAACACTGATAGTTATTTATTTCACTTTTTTTTTCTTGTATTATTATAATATTTTTTTAATTAGCTTAATATCGTTCGGGCCGGCATGGCCAGGTGGTCAGGGCGCTCGACTCGTAACCTGCGGGTCGCGGGTTCGAATCCCCGTCACACCAAACACACTCACCCTTTCAGCAGTGGGGCATTATAATATGACGGTCAATCCCACTATTCGTTGGTAAAAGAGTAGCCCAAAAGTTCGCGGTGGGTGGTGATGACTAGCTGCCTACCCTCTAGTCTTACACTGCTAATAAACCTAAACCTTAATATCATTCAGAAGAACTGGTGAACCAGCTAGCTAGTTTTCTGGTTCTCAAAGCAGGTCATGAAAACAAAGCATTAATGGAAGAAAACTACATTAGTAATTCTAAGAACCTGTGAGTATGTTAATAATAAACGAAAAATGGAGTTATATTTTAAAATTAGTTACAGAAGAAGGTGAGATAACTTATCTGGTTGCTTGCTCCTTGGAGTGAACTGGGAATGGACCAATGTATAGTAATTTTGTTGTATCACCATGGCAACAGGGAAGTGTGCATTCTGGTAGGCAGTAGAAAGTAGAACAGAGGACCTTGTGCTAAAGTCCAAGGAAAGGAAGTAGAACAGAGGAAATTGTACTAAAGACCAAGGAAAGGAAGTAGAACAGAGGAACTTGTACTAAAGACCAAGGAAAGGAAGTAGAACAGAGGACCTTGTAATAAAGACCAAGGAAAGGAAGTAGAACAGAGGAAATTGTACTAAAGACCAAGGAAAGGAAGTAGAACAGAAGAAATTGTAATAAAGACCAAGGAAAGGAAGTAGAACAGAGGAACTTGTACTAAAGACCAAGGAAAGGAAGTAGAACAGAGGAACTTGTACTAAAGACCAAGGAAAGGAAGTAGAACAGAGGAACTTGTACTAAAGACCAAGGAAAGGAAGTAGAACAGAGGAACTTGTACTAAAGACCAAGGAAAGGAAGTAGAACAGAGGAACTTGCATTAAAGACCAAGGAGAGGAAGTAGAACAGAGGAACTTGTACTAAAGACCAAGGAAAGGAAGTAGAACAGAGGAAATTGTAATAAAGACCAAGGAAAGGAAGTAGAACAGAGGAACTTGTACTAAAGACCAAGGAACGGAAATTATAAACAATAACCAAAAAAAATAATTTTGAAGATAAATCCGGGCTAAAACAAAATTATATACAGAAGATAACGATTGCTTAGAAATTTAAAGAACCAGACATAGGGTATTTCACGTTCGTCAAGTAACTTTAACAAGATTTCTTTGTTATTGTTTCAGTTTTCCTAAAGCCTGTTGCTCATTAACTTTGTTTTGTTTGTCACCTAGGGTGAGAATCCTATCTACAAACAGGCTACATCAACCTTCAAGAACCCAACTTATGGAGGAAAATAGCAAGGAAATATTCTTCCGGTATACGTACACCACTGTAGTTTATATCTGTAGCTCTGCATTATTTTATTGTGTAACAGAAACAAGCAGCTTGTATACACAAGGTTTTATCACAGACTTGATCCAGTGTAAGTTCTGAAGAATACAGTGTGTAAAAGTATAAATAGTGATATAATTGTGCCAGACTTTATCTAGTACTTTGTAATGTATATTTTTCTAACAAACAACCAAAGATTTCATACAGATTTTTGTGCAACAACATTTGATTTATTAATTCTTTTACTTGTATTTTGTAACTCACCTAGTTACTCCATTAGATACCAAAGAGCAACATTGCAATGATATAAACGCATGATTTCCAGAAATGCTTTATTGGAGGAATTCTCGTAAAAATGTCGTTCCCTCCGACAACTGGTGCTAAAATAAAATATAAGAAATGAGATAAAATATGTAGATAGTATACTAAGTAGTCTTAAGTTTGTTTTGTGGATTGGTACGTTGTCACGTACAGCTTACTTCAACCCCACGTTTCAGATGTAGCCTAAACTAAAATTAGTACAATGACCATACAGCTTACTAGTAAGATTTGAGTAAATTCATTTAACATACTGATTAAAGAGAAACAAACTGTGCAGCTGGATAAAGTATCAAATATAGAATGTTAATCGTGTTTGTCACTTAATGATTCTCTTTAACTGCAGTTAACTGAAACTGTTGCAGTAAGACATTTATTTTTTCAAGTAAGAATAACACGATACTGATGGTCAGTCTCACTATTTATCTGGCAGTTACTACAGCTTAATAGATAAGTAACTTTATTCATAAAGAATTTTCTTGACATGCATTAGTGTATTTTATATAAAATACTGAAATCTGAAGAAACATACTTTAATATAATAATGTTTGTATCTTTCCACAAAAATATCTGTAATGAAGTTTTTGGTTTATATATCCAGCCTTTTGTTGTTTTTATTTCTGCATATTTATAAAGCAGAAATGTAGGATTTATTTTGTTACAGAGGTGTGTATAGCTTTACAGTTTGATCTGAAAAAACTGTACTTAAATTTTTACGATACCCTCTTGACTAATATTCAGCATAAAAAGAAGTTCTAAAAAATGCTCTTTAGATTACTTAATGCTTTTTTTTTATTTGTAAGTTCAAATGCTTGAAGATTTATCTATGTTATATTCTGTATGTTACTTTGAATTTTTTTTACTACTACAACTACTCGTGTTTGTTTACATATATTGTTAAGATAACAGTTTGCGTCAAGTATCGATTGTGCTATTGAATATAGTAAAAACCTTTTAGAATAAGTTGCCCTTAAATTACAGAGTGTCCCAGACATTGGTTGCTATTGGCTGAATGTGTGTACGTGTTTACAGAACATGCTCGAAATGTCCACCCTCAGAATCCACAACATACCAAAGACGTTCAGTCCAGATCATCCCCGTATGTTCATCTAAAAATCTTTAAAAAAAAACAAAAGTAATTTTTAATTTCATCACTGTTACAAATGGCAACCAATTTTTGGGCCACTCTGTAGCAGATTGGTCCTTTATATATTTCTCTGTACACTTTTATATTATGAAATATTTTAACCTTTTGAGTAAAACTAACTTATAACTTTGTATTTCATTCTTGTCTTATTTATGAGTTTAGCTTCTATTTATATTACCCACTCCCATTTTTTCCCAAACGTCTAGGAACACAATTTTAAAATTTAAGGTGTTGAGTTTCTAGCACTTAGTGAGATAGGATATTAATCAAACCAGAGGAATTGGATATTTTTACTATTGTATTTATAAGGTCACTGTTCTGTGTGGATACTCAGGGCTTAAATTTAACAGCTTGGGATGGGTGGTCCAAATATTTTGTTTCCAAGTCTTTATTCAGAAGAACTTGACCCCCTCCCCCCCATTGCAAAGCAAAAGCTGGGAGGTTCATTGACTCCCCCCCCCCCTTCCTGGTAATTTGAGCCCAGTGTATGTTCTTAACTCCAGAAGGCCACACATGGTTTAAAACTACATTTTTTTGTCAGTATTTATGTACATGATAAGTTGGTGAGAGAAAGCAGATGTTTTTTTTTTAAGTTAATTATAGCAAAATGGAAAGAACAACGATATTAAAAGCAAAACTTGAAATGAAGTGTTTGTTTCAGAATAGTATAGGTTAGAAACATTTTCAGTGTTGTTATGAATAAGTGCAATATTCTCTATAAATGTGATGATGTATCGATCACAGTTTGAAGATTACGTGTTTTTAACTTACTTAATCATCGTGGTTTTTCTCTGATGTTTAGTTATATAAACTGTATCTTAACTAATTGGTTTTTCTGTGAGTAACATATAAACTGTTTTTGTATATATATAAACCAGCCAACTTTTATATACTCTGTATATTTTTATACAACTGTCATTATCTTGAAACCTCCTCTGATGTTTAGTTATATAAACTGTATCTTAACTAATTGGTTTTTCTGTGAGTAACATATAAACTGTTTTTGTATATATAAACCAGCCAACTTTTGTATATTTTTATACAACTGTCATTATCTTGAAACCTCCATGACGTATTAACTAATTCAGTATGAAGATGGAATGTTAGATAGCGTGTTCTTTAAGATCTGATATTTATATTAGTCTAGTTCTGAATCGTCCCTGTTGGTGTTCTTACTTAAAACTGCTTCTTACGGCATTTTGTTTAATTATAAGTATGTTTATCACAGTTTTATTATTTAATCATAAGTTAGTTGAAGTATGTATAGGATGGGCCAAAAGAAAGTATTTAGTGTTTTGTTTGCTAATGATGAGGGATACGAAAAGCATATGAACAAAATCCATGTCTATTAGTCGAAGAAATAGTTTTCATCCAGTACGCATAACTGTGCCTCTTTCTATACTTAGCCGTTGATAAAGGAAACAGTTCACTGGATTGATCCATTCTGCTGTTAAAGTTGTCCAGTTTGAATTTCATATTTATTGTAAGACTGTGTTTGCAGGAATAAACAAGCATAATGTTTCAGTATTCAGGAAATGTCCACGTGTCATACTGACGAACTGTTCACTACATTTGTATCATCCAAGTTTGACCCGATATTTTCTAGAACTGTCCTTACAGTTTTAATTGTGGTAGAATAGTTTAATTGTCATTTGTATTAAATGTTATATGGTACCTGAATTATCTTCCAGAAAATTCCTAACCACGTGATTGTTAAATTTCTTTTCACTATACTGAGAAAAAAAAAGAACAATGCATTAAACCTGGTAATAATACTTTGTTTAATTTCAAAGCAACAAGTTTAACTTCAGTGATCTGAGAGAGAAGAAAAAGTGATGACTCGTATTTGAGTAGTTTTATTAGTTTGCATGCTTTTAATGGTGTAATGTATAGCTTAGACAAAACTGAGGACACAAGAATCAAACTAGCTGGATTGGTGTAAAATACCTTGTTTAGAGGTTTTATAATAAATATCAATTACAACAGATGGAAAACATCTTCAATTATGACGTTTCGGGACTGCTTCAAATTCCATCGTCAACGTCAAAAAGTTTGTTTGCAATATTCTGACTACAGAAAACAGTGTTACTTAATGTCTTTATATAAAACAACACAGTGCTTTGTTTCTCATATATTTGTAATTCACTTTGTGCAAAATTAATAATACAAAAACTTATACTTTGAAAACTTTTATTCAATAAGCAAAAAAGTAGCAAGCTTTAACAACACAAACTAAAGATAATTTATCTTACAGGAACATCATTGTTTCCATTACCTCTACAAAACCAATTAGTCTGGATTCAAAAAATTAGATAATTCAGAACACAACACATTCTTTCAATTCCACTTTCTCAAAAGTTTTAAAAAAAAGTTCATGCAAAATAATTATTTCTGTTGATAAGTATTTCCAAAGACGTGTGATGAATAATTTATATTTTCTAAACTTCTTGAAATACACTTGGTAACTCTTGAAGATAAATTCTAAGGCCTAACACTATTGGTTGACACAGCTGCATAAACCATCATTCTCTGTGAGAGTTTTTCCTCATCTAGTTGTTTTTATTCAATCTTTGTTGTTTCTGTAATACATTTCCCACCTCAGGACTTTCAAGCGGAGCATTTGTAAAGAGACAACATACAAAAGCATGTGTATTCCACAGGTGATGAAAGATCACCTTACAGCAACCCAAGTCTTCGATTGTAAATCCAAAGTGACGATATCTTTCATCCGTCTCAAAAAATGTCGCATTGGTGTGCGGTCCAAGATACTGAAAACGGGAAAACGACAATGTATTAAGTGTCTGTTTAAAAATAATAAGTAAGAATAGTGTTAATTACACTATAAGACTTAAAAATGTTCCAAATTGAAAACTATATATCTTGTGTCGTTCGGTAGAAAAACAAATAAATTCCTTTTCTATCCAGGATCATAGGAAGTCTGCATAGATTGGATTTGCTACTCATTTATCCTATTAACAGCATAAAGAATAATAATTTAAGACACCAAAATTACAGAATGAAGACTAAGATTGTCTTTAATCAAGAAGATGGTGAAAAACAAACATTATATTTAATCTTAACAAGTTTAAAAGTGGGT